CCTTAATTAGGGTTATATACGATAGTATCTTTATAACCACGGAACGATTTATAAAATACGCTTACTTCTTACCGTATAAAGAGAGTAATAATATAAACGACTTAACTTACACGTTCTTACGAACCATCGTTAGTTAATACGGATTACTTAATAAAATCATCTCCGATAAAGACAAACTTTTTACGTCGAAATTCTAGAAATCACTTATGGTACGGTTTAGAACTAACTATAAATTCTTAATAATATACCACCCGTAAACGGACGGATAAATTAAATGAATGAATTAAATACTAGAATAATATTTACGTTATTATATTAATTATAAATAAAATAATTAAGTCGAATTATTATTAATTACCCAATTCGTTTATAATAACTCTAAAATAAAATTAATCGGAATAACACCGTTTTACGCGAATTACGGATTTAACTTAAATATAACAAAGGAACCATTTTAAAGAGTATTAACGGAAAAAGCTATCACACACACCGATAAATTATAAGATTTATAAAGAAATTTATAATAAGAGTTACTTTTTTTTTAATAACAGATAAAGGAATAGAATAATAAAAAGAGAGTTAAAAAACTAACTTTTAAAAAGGGGGACCCTATTTATTTATTCCGTAAAAACATTAAAACAAAACGATTAAACGACAAACTCGATTTTAAAAAGATTAAACCATTTAAAATCGATAGAGTTATTTCATTTATTAACTACCAATTATCACTACCTCGAAAAATGAGGATATATTTAACATTTTATATCTTATTATTAAAATTAATACCACTTAATATAAAAATCGAAATACGGCTCGAAACCGAACCGGATTAAAAATACGAAATCAAAGAAATCTTAAATTTACAAAAAATTAACGGTTAATGGAAATACCTTATTAAATAAAAGGATTACCCACTATCGGAAAACACTTAAAAACTTAAAAGGAACTTAAAGGGTTACCTTAAACTCCTCGAGAATTTTTATTATTAAATAGTATAAGAGGACCGATACCCGAAAACTCCCTTAAACCAAACTCCGACTAATTAACGTCGTTAAAAACACTTATAAACTAAATATCTTCGATTATATAACGTTTATAACTATTTAACGTAAAAAGGATACCATCCTCCTTATCCAACTCCACTATCCCTTACTACACTTCGTTAAAGGTACGACCCTTTACACTATTACGAATCTTCCGGATCCGAAAAAAGCGGTTAACGGCCGCCGATAACCGAGATTAAACCGTTAATATCTCTTTATAAAAATCGATAAAATCCTTATTCGCCGTATCCTCCTTTATATTTAACTTTTTTTTTTAAACGATTAACCGCTTTAAAGAAGACGTAATTAAAAAACCATCGTACGAACGACCCCGTTATATACACTCTTAACACCGCGACGTCTTCTCGATTATACGATAAAACAATTTTCGTTTAAAACAATAAAAATACGGTATATCGGTAACCACGCCAAAAGTGGTAAGAGATTTAGAAAGGAATTGCCGCTCGCGAGTTTTCTTTATCGACCGCGATTTCTTAATACGACTTGATATAATAAATATGTATTACGAAAACATAAAAAGGAAGGAAAAACCTATTAAAACTAAGAAGCGGGCGATAACGACCTATTTATACGACCCTTAGTTTTAAAGGGTTAAGATAAAAAAGGAGGGATTTGATGTTACGAATATGGCTTTACGAACCCCGACCCCGGGAAGGAATAATTAAAACCTATTAAACGGTTGGCGTATAGCCGTTAAGATAAAAAAACCACGGGATTAATAAGATAGAGAAGGTTACGTAATATGGATCACGGTTTTAATAGGTGAACCCAGATAGAGGATCACCGGGATTAGGGTGATTTAAGTGATTTAAAATAAAGGATCGTTATAGTTATAATAATCCAATTAATATTAATGAGGGAATAAATGGATATATAATAAAAGGGATTTCCTAACTATATAAATAGTTATTACTTTAATAATCAATTTAAATATCTATCTTACTTATAAGTGAGGCTTATTAAGCTTTAACGATTATATTTGTAACTTCGTTTATAAACCCCTTTATTATACCTTATTTAATACGTAGGTTATAAACTATAACCGCCCTCGAGATTAACGTCCTTTATTAATATAAACCCACGTATTTATATCTCTTTACGGTTTATTTTAGAAAGCATATTCGTTATAATAGGGTTAAAAAAGTGATATGTAAAAAGCTACCATTACCAATTTTGTAAGGGAGTAAAATTGGCTTTAAATGGCTTATCTTTATTCTTATTTTATTTATAATAAACTATTTTAATACACTTTTAAGTGTACGTATTATTTATATTTAAAAATTATTATTCATTTCACAGCTTTAATTACGGTATTTAAAGTTATAAAATAAATAATAATTTTTAAATATAAATTTAAATATAATTAAATTTACAATTTTAATTTACCGTTTTTTATAAATTAATTAATTTAATTTAATTTTCATTTAAATTTCGGATAATTTCAATATAAATTATATATAATAATCAGGGCTGTGATTGAGTAACTTTGAGTATATACTTAATGAGTATAAGTAATTACTTATTAAGTTTGAGTATGAGTAAATATTTATTAATTATTTCATTTTTAATACTCATACTTAATAAGTATATACTAGGGTTGTGAAATGAATAATGAATTTTAAATATGAATTTGAATATAATTAAATTCATGATTTTGATTTGCCGTTTTTTATAAATCAATTGATTTAATTTGATTTTGATTTGGACCTCGAATGATTTGAATATAAATCATAAATATTGATTTATATTCAACCAAATCAATGTATTTAAAATAAAATAATTAAATAATTAAATTAAATTTTAAAAAATAAAGAATAAATGTTATAATTTTTATTTTTATTTATTTATAATAATTAAATTTAATAATAAATTATTCGTCTTTTGAAAATAAATAAAACAATTATTTATAATATTATGAATTTGATTTAAATTAATTATTTATGATTTAATTTAATATTCATTGATTTTAATTTAAATATTTTAAAAATAATTGAATTGAATAATAAATCAATGAATTTGATTTAAGATTTTTAAAAATCAATTGATTTAAAAATCAAATCAAATTCAATTGAATTAAATCAAAATCAAATGAATATAAATCAAATCAAATCAATCACAACCCTGGTATATACTAATACTCATGAGTATATTGAGTATACTCACGATAATAACTCATACTCAGTATTATATTAATTAATTTAAATTAATTTAATTTATATAATTAAAAATAACTAAAAAGTTTTATATTTTATAAAACATTAATTATTTAAATAATTATAATAGTTATAAATAAACTGGTTTATACGTTTTAACGTTAAATAAAGGGTAATATAAATACAATTTTAATTATATATTTAAGTGTTAAGTATAATGAGTAATACTGAAATATTCATGAGTATCGTTGAGTATTTAAAAATCAGATACTTATACTAACTTAAACTTAATGAGTATTCGAAAATTTAATACTAATACTTATAAATTGAGTAAATACTCAACTCAATACTAAATACTTAATACTAATCTCATAGCCCTAATAATAATTTATATTTAAAAAGAATTATGTTAATTAATTTATTAATAATTAAAGCTTTATAATTTTAAAACTTTATTAATTAATAATTATTAATTTAAATTATTAAATTTATTAAGTTTTAATTATATAAATTACTTGTGACGAATATGCTTTTTAGGATAAACCGTAGAGAGATACAGGTACGTGGGTTTATGTTAATAGGGGACGTTAGTCTCGAGGGCGGCTATAGTCTATAGCCTGTGCACTGAACAAGATAGAATAAGGGTCTGTGAGCGAAGTCACAAGTATAGTCGTTAAGGCTTGATAGGCCTTACCTATAGGTAAGATAGATGCTTAGATTGATCACTGAGGTAATGACTATCTATATAGCTAGGAAATCCCTTCCATTATATATCCATTCATTTCCTTATTGATGTTGGTTGGATCACTATGGTTATAGTGATCCTTTGTCCCGGATCACTCTGATCTAAGGGTGATCCTTCCCCTAGGTTTATTCGTGGCTCGTCGTGATCCTTTGTCCTGGCTCACCTGCCAAGACCGTGATCTATGTCACGTGACCTTCTCTGCCCCATTGGTCCCATGGTCTTCTTGTCCTGGCGGCTGCGCGTCAGCCGCCTGGTGGGTTCTAGTTGTTCCTTTCCGGGGTCGGGGTTCGTGAGGCCATGTTCGTAACATCAGGCCCCTCCTTCTTTGTTTTAGCCCCTTAAGATTGAGGGTCGTATAAGTAGGTCGTTTTGTCGCCCATTTTTTGGTTTGGTAGGTTTTCCTTCCTTTTTATGTTTCTTTGTGATGTATGCTCATCATGTTAGGTCGTGTTGAAAAATCGCGATCTCGTAAAACGCTCAACCGTCTGTCTCTGGCTGAGAGTATCGAAGTTTCTGGGGCAATCACCGAGATGCCGTGTATTAGGTGTTTTAGGCAGAACCTTGCCTGTCGTATGGGCGAGAAGTCGTCGCGCTGTTCAGAGTGCGTGCGTGTTGGGCGCACTTGCGATGGGACGTTCGTGGCGTCGTCGCTCTCTCGTCTGTTGTCGTAGCAGCGGAAATTGGAGGCGGAGGAGGCCGATGCCGAGGAGGCCCTCTTCGCGTTACAGACTCAGCTGTCTGCTGCTGTTGGTCGTCTTGCGCGCTTGCGTCGAATGAAGAAGGTCGTGAAGGAGAAGAGTTCTGAAGCGTTTCAACGGGGGATGCGGGAGCTGGATGAGGAGGATGGCGTAGTGCCTTCGGTCTCTGTTTAGGAGCGCTTTGTGGTGGGGGATCTTCGGTCCATGGGCGTTTCTAACGACGTGGATTGGGCTTCCCTGGGTTTGGGTGATGATTTTGTGGATGTTGGGCCGTTGGTGTCCGTTGTCGGTGGAAATCTGTGAGGAGTTTAGGGCAACCCTTTAGGTTCTTTTTAGGTTCCTAAGTGTTCTCCGACGGTGGGTAGTCCTTCCACTTGACAAGGTATTTCCATTGACCATTGATTTTCTGTAGGTCCAGGATTTCTTCGACTTCGTATTCTTGGTCCGGTTCGGTTTCGAGCCGTGTTTCGATTTTTGCATCGGGTGGTGCTGGTTCCAGTAATGAGATATGAAATGTTGGGTGTATCCTCATTTTTCGAGGTAGTGATAGTCGGTAGTTGACAGGTGAAACAACTTTGTCGATTTTGAATGGTCCAATCTTTTTGAAATCGAGTTTGTCGTTTGGTCGTTTTGTTTTGATGTTTTTACGGAGTAGGTAGACAGGGTCTCCCTCTTTAAGAGTTGGTCCTTTAACTCTCTTCTTGTTGTTCCATTCCTTTATCCGCTGTTGAAGGAAAAGTAGTTCTTGTTGTAAGTTTCTTTGCAAGTCTTGCAGTTTGTCGGCGTGCGTGATAGCCTTTTCCGCCAATACTCCTGGGAGTGGTTCCTTCGTCATGTCTGGGTTGAATCCGTAGTTCGCGTAAAACGGTGTTGTTCCGATTGACTCTGTTTCGGAGTTGTTGTAGGCAAATTGGGCGATTGGTAACAGTTCGACCCAATTATCTTGTTCGTAGTTGATGTAACAGCGTAGGTATTGTTCCAGTGTCTGGTTTATTCGCTCGGTTTGTCCGTCCGTTTGCGGGTGGTATGCTGTTGAGAGTTTATGGTTGGTTCTAAGCCGTGCCATAAGTGATTTCCAGAATTTCGACGTAAAGAGCTTGTCTTTGTCGGAGATGATTTCGTCGGGTAGTCCGTGCTGGCTGACGATGGTTCGTAGAAACGTGTAGGCTAGGTCGTCTGTGTTGCTACTTTCTTTGTACGGTAGGAAGTAGGCGTACTTTGTGAGTCGTTCCGTGGTTATAAGGATGCTGTCGTATATAGCCCCAGTTAAGGGTTCCTTGGATAGCGGTAGCTTGACGATCCAATCCCATGCGATGGATTTCCATGCTTTGTCGGGTGGTGGTATTGGTTGTATTTCTCCGTACGGTTTGTGCCGTGAGGTTTTTGCTTTGTTGCATAGGTCGCATGTTTTGATGTAGTTGGCGACGTGTTTTTTGAGGTTTTCGCAGTCGAATCTAGCTCGGATTCGGTTCCATGTTTTGTAGGTTCTTTGGTGTCCATGGAAGGGTGCTTCGTGGTATTGTTTGATGAGTTCGTCGAGGTGTTGTGGTGGTATCTATATTCGGTTGTTGTAGGTTTTTGGGGCGTCCCCAAATTTTTCCGTCCAGCTGTCTGTTGATGTGACTCGATGTGTAAGGAAAATGTCTTGTGTTGTGGGTTCAAGGTTCCCGTGTTCGTTGGTTCGTAGTAGGGTGTGTGTTTCTTTTGGTGCTTCTTGGAAATGGTCTGGTCGTCGGCTAAGAGCGTCGGCTCTGCCGTTTTCGTTTCCTTTTCTGTATATGATTTCGCAGTTGAATTCTGACAAGAATTCTGACCATCTGATTTGTCGTTTGTTGAGTTCTTTGTTTGTAAGGAAAGATGTGAGGTT